ACTAGTACCACAACATCTACTTCAACATCGAGTATCGGCACTTCAACATCGACTACTACTACAACGTCTACTTCAACATCGACTAGTACCACAACATCTACTTCAACATCGAGTACCAGCACTTCAACATCGACTACTACTACAACAGCTACTTCAACATCGACTAGTACCACAACATCTACTTCAACATCGAGTACCAGCACTTCTATTGAAATATTTATCATAACTGAAACATCAACTACTACTTCGAGCTCAATATTGAGTACCACTGAGACTACTACTACAACGTCTACTCCAATATCAAGTACTAGTTCTTCTTCTACTCCGGCAGCAAGCTTAGGTACGTTGGCTGAAATATTTTCAAGTGAAAGTATTACCATGCAGGAGCTTAGTGCCTCTCTGTCTTCCATCAACGCAATTGCTAGCGTTGATGTATTGTGTAGATTATGGTCATGCTTACTGTAGGAAGGAGAAGAGAAGAATCGCGAATAATGAGGATGGATTATTCTGCTTGGTGTGTCATGTGGATATTGTAATTCTTCAGTGTTAGTGGGATAATGCATCTTTTCTGTTTTTCTTATGTTAGTTTGCAATACGAGTGTTGTTTATTCTTTGTTGAACCAAAGCTGTGTGATTGGAAGCGATTTACTTGTAAGTATATCATTCAATTTTCTTTGAGTATGCGTGTCATTGGTTTATCTTCAGAATTATTCAAAATCCATTTTATTGAACACAAATATTACTTCTGCAAATGTCATAGCTGATGCTCTACAAGACTATTACGCTTCAATTTCACCTCAAAGTCCGACGGAGTTACTGATTAACGGCAATCAAATAGACAACATTATCAATGGAAATATCAATGCAGATGCTCAACGAAGTTCATCACACATCTATCTTTTATCAAGTGCGCCTCTTCTGCTCAACAGTACTTTTATTAGAGGAGCTCGCTTGCATTCTAGTCAAGGAGGTGAAGCTGTAGCTACCACAAATATCACTAGTCTGTTACAAGATGTATCGGCTGCGATCACTGTGGATGATACGGATGAATTCAGAAATGTTACACGCTTGAAAGTATTATTGATCAATAACCCAGATAATTATCTGCAATATGATACAGGCAATTCGTCACTTGTATCCCCTATTATCATCGTTAGTACGAATCCAAAAGTAAACAATACTAGCGTTCAACTTTACTTCAGCAGCATTAAATACGGCGTAAATCCGAACCAAACGAGATTGTTATTGTGTTCATTTTGGGATGGCACTGCATGGAATAGTAGTGGATGTGGAATTCCAAACCGGATCAGTGATCTAGTTTTACAACAAACATCGATTTATTGGTGCACTTGTTCACATTTTACAACATTTGCATTAATATCGGTATTGGCAGGTAAAGTACGAAACTAGTCGGACAGATGTCCATGACTTTCTCAGTTCACAAATGTTAACGTAAATGAGGTTGCAGCACAGATATATGACGTTTTCTTAATCTTGCGGTATTTCCTCTACAGTATTACGTGAAATTTGCCACCGTTTACTTATCTGCGTTCATTTCTCATTTTGCTTTTAGGTAATTGTTCAAATGGAACCATTTTTTCAACAGCACAGATAAACTGTTCACTCAATACATTGGTTAGTATTCTAACTTCACTCTTTTAAATAGACGACCTCTAATTGATAATTCACCAACTATCTTGACTATTAACATTCGAAGCCTGTATAACTAATTTCATTTCAGCATCATGTTTAACTCCCGCAAATCGAAATATTTGCATTCTAAAAGAAAAAATTTCGTGACTAGTCATTCGAGGATACAAATACGTGAGAAATTTCACTTCATTCTCAGTAAAGCTGAAATAAATTCAGAGCTATCTACTGTTTTTCTTTCAATGCGTCGCTTCTTGAAAACCTTTATGCATCTGTCAAATATAAATAAGGCAAGCAAAGAAGAACGAAGAGGCAGAAAGCACACTATTATTTCAAGTCGTTAACAAAGAAATATTTGCACCCGGGTTGATGAATGAATGCGCTTTTCGGTTTATCGTGATTAGAAACTCTAGACTAAAATCAGGAAAGGAAAAACCGGCTCATGAATATTTCTTTGATGCTTTAGAATTACAGCGTATCCATACTCACAAACATCAGTGCTCTTAGCACAGATCTTGTAGTCGATGCTGTATTCGACTTTTTTGGTGCATTGAAAAATACATCGGTACAAAATGCAGTCACAGTGAAACAAGTAGATGCAAGCATATTAGACACTGTTATCGATAAAATAAACGTATCTATCACGCGAAGTACACCCGAAGCTTATCTTTTGTCGACCAATCCGCAATCAAATAATTCATTGCTTGTCGGTGCTTCTTTCTACGCATCTGTCGGCGGTAAAAGTATTACAAATCAGGATAACGTTATCCCACAGATTACGAATATATCGGCTGCTGCTGTCATTAGCGACGAATTAACATTAGAAAATCTTGCATTTCTAAAGATACTAATAATCGATCAGCCTGATAACCTTCGACTATATGACACAAACGAGA